ATAATCATGTACATCTTGAATTACACAAAAGATAAAACACCTCTCCCAGGGTGGGATTTCCTTTATGTTGAAGGTGGACGACACCAAGTCATCTACATGTCATTCTTTGCCGTCCGGTGTGTGTGTGTGTGCAGGTGGTTTGTGTCGGTCAGATCATCGGTGCAGTGGTGGCAGAGAGCAGGGAGAGCCAGGAGAGCAGCTAAGGAGGTCCACGTCACCTACCATGACCTCCAGCCTGTCTTCTTCACTATAGAGGTACCTTAAACTGAAGTGGAAATCGATTGTCTCACTGGGGATCACAAGGTTTTTTTTCACTCTTTAAAATCCCTAAAAAAAACATATAATGTCCAAAGTCAGTGAGTGTACTGCTGCTGTAGTTTATCTCCATGTCCTTTAAGGCTGCCTTTTCCAAAGGATAACTAGGATATTATGGGATAATAACTAGGATAAGACATCTTGTAACTGTGTGTTTTGTTTGTTGCAGAACATCAGGACAGACATTGTGATGGAGGTTGGGAAAAGCATCAACCCTGCTTTGGACATTGGACAGGTACATGAACAACACCACCTTTTAGTTCTAGTTTTCTATTGAACCAAGTGAAGTAAACGAAGACACTGGGAACCAAACTGTCCCTTTTGTGCATTCCACTTTTTTAATGTACAAGGAGAGACTGTGTTGTTTCAGTGGATATAGTTTGAAAACCCTTAACCATTAGCTAATAATGATATTTCTCAGGAAGCATTTTTGACTTTTCCTCAGACCACTTTGTCACAAATTCAGATACATAATATCACAGCATAAAAGAACTGTTGAATTGAACCCCAAAACCTACTTGTCTTAAAAACATCTGATTCTGATGTTGGACTCTTGCTATCACCTAAAGACGCACAGCACAAGTGTACAATGCCACTAACAGATAATTGTTTACAGATTATATAGTTTTATAGGTTATTTTTTCTTTGATTGATGAACCTCTACTAAATTAAATTCCAGGTAATATTAAAAATGCCTTTAAAAGTCTTAGGCTCTCTGACACCTGAGGACACACTGTTGACTGTCCTGTTGTTCCAGGGTATTGGCGAGCCTCCGGTTCTCTTCAGCTCCACCATTTTCTTTGCCATCAAGGCGGCCATCGCAGCAGCACGCACAGAGAGAGGACTGGGGGACGCTTTCCCTCTGAGCTCCCCTGCAACAGCCGAGAAGATCCGCGTGGCCTGTCAGGACGAGTTCACTAAAATGGTACGAGACCTGCGGCCCATGTTGCTGAGACTAAAAACTCTGGTCACTAAATTTATTGAAAAAGCAACACAATTGTTGCTGACAGTGTGCAAGAGTTTTCTACAGTCTTAAATATGCATCAAGGAGTTCCATTAAAACATTTTAGTTGATACCAGAGATGTTGCCTTGAGTCACAAATGTTATAACTATAAACTCTAAACTTGACTAAATCAAAAAAGACTTGCAACTTGACTTGGACACCAGTGACTTATGACTTTACTTTAACTTGAACCTTTTGACTTTAAAATACTTTTTACCTTCCTCCAAGGCCAAAGATTAAAGTGATTTCCCTTCATTTCGCTTTTTATTCCCAGCAAGTCAACACTTAATTCCCCAGACCCACTTTGTTTGAACCAATCTGACAAAATCTAATCAAAGTTACAGGACAGAACCATGAAGAATATAATAATGATAATTAATAGATAATTCCATTTAATTGTTCTGTTGGTAAAATGGAATTTAATTTAATTAAGAGCGCATTATGACTTGTTTAGGACTGGAAATTCAACGTTTCAGACTTGAGACTTGACTTGGCTTGCACAACAATGACTCTGGTTGATACTGCTTTACATATTGACCAACAATGCAAGCAACACAGCTGAAAAAGCTTGTTAAGGTCTAGCTGTGGACATATGGTTTCGTATGTCTTGGTTTATGAGATGGAAATAGTAGATAAGGTACATTTGTTTCTAGATGCTCCAAAACAACCAGAAAAATTTTAACAAAATACTGTTAGCTTCCTCCAGATACACTGGTTATCACTCTAAGTGCTGCATGTGATGGTTAAACCACTAGCCAGAATCTTTCAAGAACTGTATGTGAGACCAACTGTTGGCCTGTTACATTAATATCACAATATCCCAACCAGAGCTCTCTTCTTACTTGCGTCTCCTAACCTCCTCCTGTCAAACACCTGATTAACAGCACTTCCTGTCGCTCTTCCAGGCCTCATCTCCGATGGACGGGGCCGCAGCCCATTGGTGCCTCGACGTGTGATCAGCCTCGGCCCACAAGAAGACAAATCTGCGTTAGTTTACAAACCACTCTTCATTATGTTTACTGCTATTGGATGTACAGTGGGTTTATTTGTTGTCTTCAATAACGGTTAAATGATTTATTCTTCTTTTATTCAAATAGTGATATTGTAGGATAAAGGCACAAGCACAACAAATAAATGTAAATTTAAGTGGTCGTGAGGTATTAATTTCACATTATACACTGTTAGAAATGAGAATACATGTGTTATTAAAAAAAAGATTCATTTGTTTGTTTAAAATTAACATGTAAAGAAAGTTTAGAGAGTACAGTAAGTGCATAATCATTGTTAGTTACATTTAGTTCACAGTGTAGTTTAGTTTGATCAAATAAAAACAGATTCAGATGTTTAAGGCCCACGGTTTGTAAGATCCTGGTTTGCTGGCTGGAATCTGGAAACAAAACAAAAATGAACAGAAATAAATAAATGTATGGTGTAATGGACAATTTCTTACCTCATCTCAATAAGGCTTTAATTCCTTTACATTATCATTTGCCTATTTTTTTTTTACTCCCACAAACAAAACAATAAGGAAAGATTAAAAGGTAATACATTCTTGTGCAGTAGCTTCCTCTTTATGTAACCTGATTATAAATATTGACCTTTTATTAAACATTAGGCAGGATGATCTTGTCTGGCCACAGCTGCAGAAACGTGGGCTCGAATCAGTTATTTGGGGTCAAATTATTCATTTATTTTAAAGGTTGCACCCAGAGGTTTCTGCTGTCAGCTTAGAAACTCCCAAAATCTTGTCACTTTAGTTTGACTTCAGTTTTCTGGTCTGAATGCTGTTTCAAAGGAGTTTGTTACCTTGACAAAGGGAACATGTTAAAAATATACAGACAGTCAATAATTACAAAACAATACAAACACATTTTTTATCCCTGCATTTACTGAGTAAGAACATCAGTATTTCAGCATTTTTACCTTCTGAGTGAACGGGGAGGCACAAGCCAGACAGGCCCTCTCCGGTGTCGTGGGGCTGTCCAGGGAAAACGGGCCGACTAAACCGGACTCTGCGCGAGCTGCAGCCACAGCGTCTTTAATGGCGAAGAACACCGAACTGCCCAGGAAGAGGACGGGTTCTCCAATACCCTGCAGAGCCGGAGGATCGTCAGGAACATTACTTGTTACACAGACTGATGTAAAGTCTATTAAAATACAACCAATGATGTTTTAAACAGTTAATCTTCTCTGTATGAATGGACTATGAATAGTTTATGGCTTGGCTGTTCCTGTCACCAAAACGATCCTTGCAAATAGTTGTTTGCTGCTATATTTATGTTTATGTAACTCCACACATATAACATTTAAAAAGGCAAAACCAGGGCCCAGTGGGAAATCACAGCTGATCTTGGGACACCTGATAAGTTTGAAAAATAGAGTTTCTCTTTCTTGTTTGTGTTGTAGAAAGAAAGAAAAAAGAAAGTCAAACATGGACAGAAAGAAAGAATAAACAAAGGAATTCAATAACATAGAGGGGTACATATGTGCATCGTGACCTCTCACCTTGGAGGAGTAGATGGCGTGGGGGTTGTGGGAGTCTGACAGCAGATAAACGTTAAAGCGAAGCGGCACGTCGCACACCGCAGGGATCTTATACTGAGACGGACCTCGAGTGTACAGGAGCCCAGAGGGGGAAAACTTCAACTCCTCCAGAGTGTAGAGACCCAAACCCTGCATGAACGCTCCTTCAATCTGAAAGGAGGGAGGAAGGGAGAGAATAGTGGATAGACAAATAGATGAAGGGAAAGGAGGACGAAAGTATGGTTAGAAAGAGGAAAGAAAAGAGAGGAAATTGACAAACTTCCTCTATAAAACCAAATATTCTGCTCATTTCTGAATACAAAACCAGAAGCATGCAAAGAAATAATACAGGAACATCAACCATCAAATTCCTTCTGGATTGGCTTCATTTTACGGGTCTCATGAAGTCTTTAACTAAAGGACTGATACTAAATTGGTCAACTGGCATATATGTCTGCAAATATATAAGAAATTCTTAATTTTTACACAGTAAAATGTCCCAATTAGTATGTGTCACAATAATATATTTTTTTAAACAGCTCTGATTATAAATGAGAGTACTTCCTAAATTATTTTTCAGTAGTAGCAATAATCAGCAGATAATTTCCTCAAAAGAACTGTAAAATCCTATCAACTGACAGATATACATTAGAAAATAATGTAGATGTTAATATATTTGTTAAAAAAGATTTTAGAAATTAATTGTATAGTTTGTCTTCACAACTAAACACAAAGCTTGCTAATCGTCCCCATTTTCTCTATAATTAGTATCAAATAACCTTCCTAACGTGCTACAGTTGCACATCCATTCCTTTCCATTATTAAGTATCTGTAAAAGAAAGTGGTACCAGATTGTATTCTTTTTCTGCCTTTATAGTCGACCAGAACAGACCAGACTCACCTGGCCGATGTCCACTGAGGGGTTCACACTTCTACCAATGTCGACCACAATGTCCGTCCTCACCGTCTACAAGAAAACACAACAAAATAAGAAAAGTGAAAATGTCGCTTTGTTACAATCAGTTTTAGAGTTATGGTAAAAAAGAATGGCTGTAATGGTTCAGTTCTGACCCTGTAGTCTCCCGTGAGGCAGTCCAGCTCCACCTCACAGCAACACGCTCCGAACGTGAAGTAAGCATAAGGCTGCCCCTCCATCTTGTCCCAGTCCATGTAAAGGTCTGGACCTCTGAGGACACACAGGTGGCTCTTACGGTCACTTGATAAATAAATGCATTAAATCAGACTAGATAGATTTCTGTCATACCTGTAGAATCCAGTAGCCGATAAACTGATTTTCTTAAAAAACGCTGCATTGACCTGAGGACAAAATAAATAAAATGATTGATGTAATGCTGTATATACCCAGCAGCAATCACTAAGAATGTATATCTTCCTTTCTTATCAAACCGTACCCAACTCTCCCATGATCCCTTGGGGTCCTTCTGCCGGAACGGCTCCAGTCGCTGGTACAGAGTCTGGCAGGCATTCTGAGTGAAAGAAAAAATGAAACTGATACTTTTGAAAGTCTTTTTAGTCCTTTTGGCTTGAAATACAGAATACAAGAATACAGAATACATAATAACTTAAAGGTCCAGTGTGTAACGTTTAAAAGGATCTATTTGCAGGAAGGGAATATAATATTAATAGGTATGTTTTTGTTGTTTTTATGCACAAAGGGAGTGGGTCCTCTTCCACAGAGGCCTCTCCTTTGAACCCGCCATGTTTCTACAGTAGCCCAGAATGGAAAAACCAAACACTGGCTTTAGATAGGGCCTTTTTGCGAGTTTTACAACTACTGTAGTTTCTCCAGCACACTCACAAAGTGACTCTACCACTAGATGCCACCAAATCCTACACACTTTAATCAGTAAAGACTGCAGGAACAGGACTTTACCTTGACTGCCATGCCGTTTGCATCAGTACCGAAGGAGGCAGCAGAGGGGCAGGTGTTTGGAACAGTGTTCGTGCTGGTTTCACTGATGTAGATCTTAGAGGGCAGAATATGAAGCTCCCGACTCGCCACCTAACAGAAAATAGTACCAACAATATTCTATACTTTTGTTCCCATCATCAAATCCCATGAAAAACACCTCACAAATATATAGTTGCATTTATAAATTCAGAGGTTAGATTGTTATGTTCAAAAAGACA